CTTAAGCAAGCCCAAGTTTTTCTAAACTAGCGGGTAATGCCCCGAATCATGCCCTCAAATTTTGCTCGCGGCATTGCTCCTCTCACTTAAAAGCCCTCAAGCCACCCAATCTAAACACCTCAACATTACCAAAAAGCCGTTAAAAGCACGCCTAACACCCAAGTTTCCCTAAAATTGGAACAATGCCCGACTCATGTGCTTTGATCTCTTGCTTGCGCATTGCTTCCGTCCTCTACCTAACATGGCAAAACTTATGATTTGGCAAGGCACCCCATGCTCCTTTATATTACTGCTATTACCTCTACAAGATCGATTTTTTCATGGAAGAAAAACCGCTCAAAAGGCCATAATAAGCACTTTGGTTTGAAGATTATTGCCTCGCCCCATATTTCCATGTCACACATAATATTGTACTCACTAAGTTTAATTGATTTCTAAAATTTCCATATTTAGAATGTAATCTTCTGCATACTTTATTTTTATAAATGAAAATTTTTGCTTATCAACGAGCTAAATTTAAGGCATAACCTAATAATAAAATACATATGGACCCTGGCAAAAAAAATCCAAAATTCGATACCTTCAAAAAAAAAAAAAAAAGGAATTCATACATTATCGGGCTGTATCTAATAACATGTGTCCGAGTTTGAATTTTGAAAATAAAGCTTGTACGCCCTCACTGCTATCATAGTAAGGAGTACAAATGGAAGCTTAAACTCCCTATTTCATGTCCCTATAAATTAGCCACTCCTAGAAAGAAAAAAAAAAAAAATATTAATTATATAAAAAAAATATATATATATATATAATAATATATATATATATATATATATATATATATATTACAAATTGTAAACGGGACAAGCTCCACTTGAATTAGAATTTTTAGAGTCGTTTCTCAAGCTCCCAACAGAGCGATGAGGGCAAAAATTTACAAGCCAGAATAATGGCACAGTATTGTTTGCCATTTTTGGATATCTTGCTGATTTATACATTTTTTGGACGCTTTGGAAACAAAAATCTCACTGGTTCAAATATTAACAAACTACAAAACATCTAAATCTGATTTCAACGTTAATAGATATACCATTAAGAAAATCAGAATGCTGATCGGCCTTAACCGCAAACCTTGAATTGTTCACCGAACTGAAAACATACTTTTTCAACCCCAAAAGTCTTTTGGGTTAAAGTAATCATCATCCTTTGTCTTCCATCCATCAACCATCATCCAATTGTTTCCTCAATTATTACAAAATCTCTCTTACCATCATTTTCGAGGCTCATCCAATCACTGTAACACTCTTCAAGAATCCACATCAAGGACAATGGCGCATCTGTTCCCCAATCCAGGGAGGGAAGGTTGTTTCTGCAAAGCTTCCGTAAGCTCCCACCTGATCTCTCAATCTTGCATAAACCCACATTTGGACCCAATGAACTGCTGTCCCCATAATCCTGACAATTCAACCCAGGAATTCTATTCATCTCCCTCTCTACATTATTGAAAAAGAAAGAATTGCCCAGAGTAAACTATTGCTTTCAGAAACAGGATTAAGCCCTCCGAAAAGCAAACGATTGTCGCATCAAGCAGTGATATACAGCCATTAATCAGGGGTTTTAAACCTGCCCAACTTTTCATTCTTTCAAAGCACCTCAAAGCCCTTTCTCTGGGATGAGTAGATGCACGTTGCCCACCCATGTATCAGATGTTTGCTGTAAGGGTGTTTAACATTTTGGCTTCACTCCTGAAAGTTTTTCCATTTCTTCCATTGTTTTTGTTTGCTCTCACCTTGTTAAAAAAAACAACCCCCTTTAATCAGGTAATCCCTAGTAACCAAAATAATCTAATATATAATATATAAAAGGTCAATTACAAGCTCACGAGGGCTTAATGAATAGTTTTATATACCTAGTATTCATGATATTATATAAGATACAATTGGGGGATCCTTGGTTAGTGGCTCTAAGGTCCCAAAAATCTTTAACTTCTTGAGGACCAGAAATTACTGAATTTTTTCAAAAGGGGAAAAAAAAAAACAAAAAAAAAATCTGAAGGTAGAGAAAAAATGAAGAAGGTGAGAACTAAACCCCCAGCCATATTGTATTCTGTTTCCCAAAAAAAAAAATTAGGGTGTTCACCTAGAAAGCAAAACTTCTTCTAGGAAATCAATGGTATTCATAGATGGAAGAGAGCTGACCAGTCCAAAACCACTATAAGATTTACTTTCTTTTCTAGGGCGAAATAATGTATTCATTAGAATGAGAGAGCTGCACAGTCAAACACCATTAAGAAACAAGATTCTTATCTTTTAGCTTGTTAAAAGGGTCTGGAGTGACAAAATTTGCTCATTAAAGACCATCAGCTCTTGTTTTATTATAGTAGATAAACACAAAAATACGCCTGCTGGTAAATCTACATGACTGAAAAAGAAATTATTAATTACCCACTAAAAAATGCAAGGTACTGTAGCTTCTTAGCTAGTTATTTTTTCAAAAGCAGGTAGAACAATTTATTAAACCAATACCATCATTATCCCACAGCCTTGCCAAACAAAGCCATTTATAAAGATGTATAAGTTATGAATATCAGGTTGAACTCCTCCCTTGCTTCATTTGTTGCATAAGGTCAGCAGCCTGCCCAAAACATCCACCTCTTCGGAGCCCATCTACATGATAAAACACTGAAACTGAAAGTAACGCGACAAAGATGAAAACAGTTTGTTGGGAATACATAACCCTATAATCACATTAAAGACTTATTTCCCCAATTCTTCAAGATAAATCAAGAAATGATAATAGAGTTCAAAACCAATAACATTAAAAAAAAAAGTTGGTTTCCCAGCCCAGGAGAGAGAGACAAGTGAAGAGAGCACCAAAGTTATTGCTGTTATATATATATATATTGCGTAAAGACTGCATACCCATCAATTAAACTATGTTGTAAAACAAAAAGTGTTCCTTGGATGTTTTGAGCACTCATTTCTTTTGGTTACTGCTAAGCACTGTGCATCCTGCCTGACTTGCAGCACGCCTTTCAATAAATGCCTTCATATTGTATAATATACATCAAGCTCTTAGTCCTTCATTTTCTTTCAGTTTGGGCTTAAAATACTCAAAAGCTTTTCCAGTGGTCACCTAATGCTGCATAAGCCATTGCATGATGGTTGTGTATGTGTGCTCATTTGGACTAACTCCTGCTTAGTGCCATCTCATCTAATATTTTCAACGCTTCTCAATCTGCAATACGCAGAAAGGATATGGTTTACATCTGACACTGAAAGAATAACTTAAAATTAAAAAATAAAGATAGGTAACTTTTAAATTTAGATACAGAGAAGAAAAGCAAAACAACGTAGAAACATTAAATATGAAAAGAGCAAACAGGTTATCAAAACTGGTGGAGATTTTCATAATTTAAATATGAAAAAGGGAAAAATTAAAAACAAACAACATAACAAACTGGAGTATCAGCCTGCGGAACAATGCCAGCAAGGTTAAGTTTAAAAAAAAGCATAAGGCGGCACATCAAACCACTGTACAACCCCATAGCTTGACAAGCAGAGCAAAAAATTCACTCCTTTGTTTGAAGGAAGCGCTAGAATTAGAAGGGGGAAATAATCAAATAAACAGAGTTTTAGAAGCTGAAAATATCATAAACTGCAATTTTCAATGTTGGAAAAATAAATTTTGAGTAGAAAGGACCTCCTAAAGAGAAGAATGGAAAACAATTACAAACTACCCTGCTTGTTGGACCAAGTGGTGCCCAGAACTTTATCTCCCAGGTTGGAATTTAAAAGTGAAAAAAACCTATTTTTTTAGTACCTTAAATTTGTTTTCCACGAGTCACGATAGAGAAAAGAAAAGCAACTATTCTTTAGTACTTTTTACTTTCCCGTTTTAACCCTTAAATCAATATGAAAACAAATTACCCCAGTTAAAAAAAAAAAATTAAAAAACATTTAAATTGAGGGCCTTTTCTCCACTTTGCAACTTCAGGGCCCCACACACTTAAGCACAAAAAAATGCCCTCTCTTGCAATGAAAAGCACCTTGCTTAAATATGCTAAAAAAGCTCGTCTATTTGTTGCCTGCTGCTATCTGCACTTAAGGGAGCACTGTTTTTGCGCGTTTGGATGCCCTATTTACTGACATGCAAATAAATCCAAAATTACATCAGAGGGATCCGAAATTAGGCCAAAGAATGAACATTGCTAGAGATAATTAATGTAAGAAGAAACTTTTCCACTTGATGTATGGATGGAATCTTTTTCTTTTCTAGTTTTTTTTTTTCTTTTTCTCTGCATATGAAGCCAGTGGAAAAAGTTTATAGTAAGGTTATGAACCCAAAATGTTGTTTTACTGAAAGGTGGAGAAAAAAACAAAGCACAAGGGCAGTCCTTGAGGATGCTTCAGTCTGCAAAATGCCAAGCCAAATAAATGGCTTTTAGGCCTTAGCCCTTTTGAAGTTTCGTATTTAAAGAATATATTGAACATTTCAAATCGAAAATTAGGTCCCCACTTTAAAAATATGGATCTGCGCCATTTTGAACCACACGCAGGGTTCTCCAAACTTGTTACATAAAATAATTTACCTGAACACTTCTCCACCCAGTCCCAAGAATCCAAAGCATGAAAGCAGTGCTGCAACATCCTGGGATACATCCACTCCACCTTATCATATCAAAAACTATCTAAAAGCTCTTCTCATTTCTCCAGCCCGTGCAAAATCCATGTATTATTCTGGCATAAATGTACGTGTAGTAGTCTAAGGCCTTTTCCTTTCTGCATTTCCTTAACCATTACAGATGGCGCGTTCCATGTTCCCATTCCACAGAATGCTTTGATAATGTTATTGTTAGCAGCACTAACATCAGGCCTTCAAACCCATGTTTTACGAACATCTTTCAAATAATTGCAAATGCATTTGCCCAATCTTTAACTTCAAGGATCCATAATCACATGGGAGTAAGTCTTCAGTTTGTGCTTTAATGCCACTGATTCCTCATTTTGCTTACTTCCAAGCTTTAGAGACTTTACCAACCTAAAAAGAGAACATTATATTGTTTCAATTAATGTTTATTCATCAATTCATAAAAATCAGGTTACAAAATTAACCACCAAAGCACTGGGAAATGCCAGCACCATTAACCACAGAAAAAAAAAAAAAAAAAAAAAAAGAAAGGAAAGAAAAAAAGAGAAATTAAAATACGAAACACAGTAGTCCAAGCAGACAGGATTAAGAAACTGAGCAGGCAGAATTCCACCATGCTATACTGGCATAGTCTCTATCCTGTGAATGGATACTTGATCAAGGAATGTTTGAGGTGGTGGCAACAGGAGCTAACATCATGTATTCGATGATGGTGTTACTGAAGCAAATTGGGGAGCAAAGATTTGGACCCATATCCTGAACTTTTGTTGAGTGCTTCGGGTCCATGACCTCATGGATGTTGAGCTTCAAGTTCTGGAACAAGAAACCTATTTAATCTCTTATCTTCCCTTTGAGACCCATAAAGTGTTTCCACTTTAAACTCTACCACCACTGTTTAATTACAAAGAACCATGATCTCTGTCACTGTGTGTGCATCTCACATGGCAACAGAGAAGCCAAGGCATTCCTGGCACAATCAAAATTCTCGTTAATTTCTGACAAGTCTCAACCTTTGATCCTATGTCAGCTCTGTGATGAGGAATTGGGGGGAAAGGGGGGGGGGGAACTTTTTTTTTGGGCGGGCGGGTCCAAAAAAAAAATTTTTCCCCCCCCCCCCCCCACGGTTTTACCAGTGGTCTGCTCTTGGGCCAATTGTTATGTGGAGAAGAGAATCAGTCCCAGTGCAGTTAAGACGGGTATCAAATTACTAACTCTATATCCTTTTACATTGAATAGGCTTCTTGACTTTTGATAAGAAGCACATAGAACTATTTTTCATGTTAGCGAGTTTTTATGGAAAGAGTTGCAATATTTTTTTGTTTCCAAGATACTTCACCAAACTTAACAAGGAATTCTTGCATTTGATTATTCTAAGCCTACAATGGTGTGGAATTCATGTGCTGGACAAAGGCAAGCTTTAAAAAATGGTGCGTTCCTGGAAACCCATGACCTATGACCCGACCCATGTGATTATATAAAACACAATTGATCCAATCTCACCCCATTAATATTGCAAAAAATCCGCCAGGTTGGGTTGAGTTGGGTCATAAAGGTTGAGATACTCCGGATACCAGATAAAAGAGGAAACATGATTGCTTGATTGTTAGTGTGTCCGAGGCAAAAGCTTCTGTTATGGTTTTATTGGCGTGTGATTTAGGAATTGAGACTGTGGTGTACTCTGATTATTCGGAAGTTGATCGCTGCGCTCAAATCAAAATGGAGAATTAGAATCCTATCTTCAAGTTTTTAGTCGCTGAAAATTAGGTCTTTGATTGCTTGTTTTTGATCATACATCCTGCGTTCATGTTTCGAGCAACGCCCAGGCAATGTGGCCTCATATTTGCCTAAAATCGGCTCCGGAATTGTGGATCATGCTAAGCCTGAGCATGTTTGGATGGAAGATTTTGTCTTTCCAGTGCTTTATCTTTTTCATGATTGGATGTTACTTTGATTCTAATTGAAGTTTGCCATTATTACTCATTAAATAAATATAAATAATAATAAAAAAGATCACCTTTAGATATGTGTCAATCAATTCCCTAACAAAACTTTTACAATTTAAATTGGTTACCCCCTCTACCTTGTTTCAATCTGTTTACATTTTAATTGGCTACTCTCTCGTAGGTAGAACAAGAAAAGTGCAACCCCAGTACCAAGACGCGTGTCTTAATCAAGCTATCTTTAAGTGCATTTTTTTTTTGTTTTTTTTTTTTTTTTTTTTTGGGTAAGTTTAAGTAATCCCCCTTCAGGTTCCCTTACCAGTGTTTCTGAATTATTATTATTCAATTCTAGATATTAATATAGATTCTTTTATGCTTGCTAACCAAGGTTATGAGGTTCTACTTGTTAATCACATGATGGAGTATTCTAAGTTGTATCTCACTTGTGCTGGTTTTGCGCCCTGCATCAGGTGGTTGCCACACTTTCAAAATAACAAAACAACTAAAAAGCACACTTTTACAATTTGCTGTGTTGCAAACAAAAAAAAATAAATAAAAATAAATAAATTAATAAAAAATTCCAGCTTCACACTCGTACCTAGAAATTGCCATAGAGAGATTGATGAACACTCAAATAAATTTGATATTTTAGGTGGTAGATAGGCAATCAAGTGCTTTCCAAATCTAGCCACAGTTGCAAAGAATGTCCTTTGCTTGCTTCGCTTCAACAATTTTTAGTCAGACAAGCATTTAGTGCAGAGACCATTGCCTGATCCTACATGCTTCAGTTTATTCAAAAAGAAATTTGGAACTGCAAGCATGTTCGTGAAACCAATGGACTAGGGTTGGCTTTGAGAACCCCAAGATGCTATTCCAATTGCCGAAAGAAAACAATTCAACAATGAAGATGAGTGGTTTCAAAGACTGAAAAAAAATGCTAAGAAAAATAAGGGTCTATTTCAAAAAATTGCATCAGAAAAAGCATTTAGTGCAAGTGGACATACCAAGAAATTTGGAAATTGCCAACACATAGTTAATGATTGGACTAGCGGCAGCTTTGGAGAACCGAAGACTGCTATTCAAACTGAATGAAAAGGAAAATGATTCGTGAGAACCGGAGGTAAGTGGTGCATAAGACTAAAAATGTAAGGAAAATAGAGGGACTATTTTTAAATTTTTTTAATGTCCGTCCAAACCTCAAGAGGGATACTTAAAATAAATAATTATTAAATAATTAATTGAAGCCAATCTCTTTTTAAAAATATTATTTCTCTATTGAATTGATGCAAATTCTAATTTCAAATTTTAAAATTGAACTTTTCATATTTGAAATTTCTTTTTCAAATTTAAAAAAAAAAAAGTTTCTTATCAAAACCTTGATCCGGAAACTGTGCTGGAATTTCCAAAACGTCATCGGAAAGCCCCCAATAGAACCAACCTAAAATCCAAGAAAAATTGTACCTTTAATCTTTTTTTTTTTTCTTTTTCCTGTGAACTGATTGTCCAGTTACCAACAACTCTAGCCGTTTCCAGTTTATTTTCCTAAGGGAACCAAATACATGACCGACCCACTGATTCTAGTCCAATTTGGAACCGAATATGCTAGGCCAATATCAATCGAGCTTTTCCTAAAAGCCGATTCCCAAATCCAAAAACCCAAGCCACTAGCCAAGTTACATGGAAATTTTTATTTGGGAGAAAATCATTGCCAAGATGAGGCGTTGCACAATGAGGGATGTTAAGATGAAATGACAAAGATTTAACCAAGATTTTTATTTGGATCTGTCAAACAAGATTGACAAGAGAAATACCACATCCCACACAAGGTGCAAGTGCGCACCAAAATTGAGATAACAATGAGGAGAACATTTGAGAGAGTTTAGTCAGGACCTCTGTGCCCCTTATTCATAAGTGTGCCACATAGTTGATAGTGGAAAGGATGCTAAATAGGGAAAAGATGGACTGAACCACAAGGAGGAAAGTTCAAAGATTTAATAAACTTTTTAACATTTAATGTAGACTTGCGCTTAATGAACAAAAGAAATGGAGAATAAAAGATTCATATAGTCGACCCAGGCTAGTGGGATTAAGGTTTTAGTTGTCATTCACTAATGCTGCTAAAAGAATATCATTCATTTGGAAAAAGCCAACTATTACCTTATGTATAGGTTGAATGAGGACATCCATAGCTAATAACTGAGGGGTGCAAATCCACATTCTGCAACATTATATAGCAATTTAGCACCCAAGGCAACAAATAATACAGTTCCATTACGCTAATGAAATGATATGACTTTTTTCGGTTACAAAAGGTTACATATCACGTGAATTAAAAGGGAAATATTTTTAATAATCGACAATGTGAAGCCAAGAAACCATATTTGTTCCCTCGGTGACAACAAGAAAAATCTTGGTTGTTGGATTCCTCACTCGTAAAACATGATTGTATGTTTAAAAATTACGGGGCATACCCACTCATGCGAAAAGGGGGTATGGAATATCCTATAAACAGATGAGAATGTGATAATAAGCCCCTTCTTTAGTCAAAAAAATTAAAACCAAGTTTACAGGACTAGTCAACTAGTCACTTTTCATCTATTAAAAAGACCTTAACCATATTATATTGCGCTTGCTTCTCAGACAGCAGAAAAATATAAACCAACAATAAAGGTAACACTTAAGAGTCCTAAGGTCTTCCAAAAAAGCCTTAAGTTCTATTCATCCAAGGCAATGGCCTTAGCCATTACGTTCAGAGCATTGGAATTATTAGACCAAAACCAGATTCCACATTGGATTTAATCAGAAATGAACCATCTAGTATACAACAAGACTTATTATGAGGTGCTCAAAGAATAGCATAGTATTATATTGAAAAATGTCATAACGAATTCAAGAACAATGTAAAGACTATGTTTTACACCATTTTTGCAGCTTGATTTAACTCACCATTCAACATGCTTCGCTCATTCATAATTCAAGGGATAACACATTCCATTTTAACATATTAATAACAATTACATGTTTCTTTTCAGGAATCCCCTCAGCGTTTTGAATAAATGGTCACCAGTTGGCACTGGTTTCTCAGTTTGAATTACTCCAATTAAGACGGAAAACGTAGTTGCAAATTAAGGTTTATGGTAGGAATACACCAATTAGACATGTATAACAAAAAATATACTTAATCTTGCCAGTGATACATAACATAAGTTTTAAAATCAACACTATATAACTATTAATTCCAGATAATAAATGTCTGAAGCAATTGATTCCATCCATATTTCAAATTGCTTACTGCATTTTCTTTTAACCTAAATAAACTTTTTGCATTTGAAAAAGAAAAAGCATGGGGAAATGGGAGAAGCTACAAATCAAAATGCAGTATGCTTACAGCATATTGCAAAAATTTAGAAGCACATGTGAATCTGTAATGGATGATAGACATCTTAACATCATTCTTTACCTTAAGCCTTTTCAAATTACAGTCAGGACATTTCTCTTCATGCCAATCATAGTATAACCGTCCATCATGGTATGATTATATGTCCAATGGAGCATCTATACCATCTTTCTTCCATTCCCTCACCAAAGCTTCAGCTTTGTCCATGTTAATCAGTTGACTGTGATTGAGAAAAAGAATATTAACCTTTTAATAAGATAAACTCATAGTAACAGACCATTGGTTTAATCCAGAGAACAAGTTTTGTGCATATCCAAATTCTTGAGTAATGTATTAAATTACAAATACATAGTAATTAAAGGCACAAGGGATGCTTGGAGCCGAGGGAAGCTAGCCTCTAGGCAAAGGACCCGCCCGAGTGAGGTGAGGCACAAAAATTTAAAAAAAAAAAAAAAAAAAAAAAAAAAAAAAAAAAACACGCATAAATCTAAATATAAAAAAAAAAAAAAAGAGAGAAAAATCAGGAATCAGAAACAATGAAGAAAACACACATTAAATCAGGCAGAAAAAAAAAAAGTCCAGCAACATAATGACTTATTTAAGATTATTGGAGTAAATAGAAAGGAGTAGAATCAATAACAACAACAACAAACTAAGCTTAATCCCAAATTAAGTTGAAAAAAAAAAAAAAAAGAGAGAAAAATCAGAATCAGAAAAACATGGAAGAAAACACACATAAATCAGGAGAAAAAAAAAAGTCAGCAACATAATGACTTATTTTAAGATATTGGAGTTAAAATAGAAAGGAGTAGAATCAATAACAACAACAACAACTAAGACTTAATCCCAAATAAGTTGGGGAAGAGAATAGAAAGCAAATATAGAAAGCGAAATTGAGAGAGACATATTTGAATGGCTGCTGGTCAGAAGCTAAATTATAGGAGGTAAGCACTAGATGGAAGAGTCAAGGTTGAATTGCGAAGCACCTCACTGGTTTTTATGCTGCATTTTATTTCTTTTATTTATTTTATGTAATCAGATGCCAACAGGACAGCTTTATATTAAAAGAAAACCCTAGCTGACTTGTTCAAGAAAAATAAAATAGAAAGGCTCAAGCCCTTGAGGCTTAAGTAACAATGATCCAATACAACCAATTTCAACATACATATCTTCCAAGAATCCAATAACCTAAGAACCAAAGGCCTTTACTAAGTTTTCCCTCCTAAACAAAGTTCACTGGAAAGACTAATATCGAAACTGTCCTTACAGTTCAGTGTTTTAATTAAACCAAAACCCCAATTAAACTCTATTTTAACAAGTGCGCATATAAACAAAATGCTTGTCCAAACCAGGAGCACATTGTGGATTCGATAATTCACACAGTCCCTAAGATTGTATTATCCCTCAAAATGTTCAAGGTATCTTGATTGTAAGCATAGCAAAAACAGTCAAACCCCTATATTGATATGGAAATCTGTTATTAATACAAATATGAAAAAATCTTCATCGACTTCACTGCATATTATAAAATATTGTATGCACAATGATAAAATACAAAAATTCATATTATTGAACTTGAGTTATAAATACTGACCAATGAGCATAAATTATGTTCCCATAAATTATCGAGTTCATGTTTGAATGTGTCTCTTTTGCCTCCTTAAACCAGTGATCTGCAGCTCTTCAACAGAAAATGAAATGGTGTTAGCTCACATGGGAACCCATAAATACAACTAAGTAACAGTTATTCTTGTCATTGAACTAAAACAACAAAAGACCATGGAAGGTTCTTCAGAACTCTAATTACTAAATAAACTAAACTATCTAGCAATTTATCATGATTCAACTACTTGTAGATCACACAAGAAAGACAATTCTCATCAATGTCTCATCAAGGGTAGACAGACTGGTGGAGATTGGAGATTCCTTTTCCTAGAAGAAAAGTAAATATTTAGGAATACAAAGGCTTTAGGTAAATTGGCTGAAACCTTCCCAAAAAGCAAGTTGCATATAAGTTACACAACTCCTTTTTAAGGAGATAATTTGCAAGTGCTTTCTCCCAACACAACTTGACTGGTGCAAGTTACATAATATTAAGAACTCAAATAACATTGTTGTTGAATAGATTTTATGTACTAACCCTTGAAAGTACAGATGAAGCAATATATGTCAACAAAAATTGCTAAATAATAAGGTTGATTGAAACAAACCTCAGTTACGCTTACTGACCTAACTAGTTGAATTCTTTCAGTTTTCATTCATCAAAACCTCATTGACTTAAGCACCAGAGTTCAATACCCCTGGGAAGACCACAAACCTCTATTGTTCATCTTGGAGATTTCAAACAAAGCCATATTTTTTAGGACACGACTATCAAATACCAGAAAAGGTATTCTGCAAATAATTGAAGTAATGAAATAAAATAAAAATAGCTTTTCACTACCACACAGGAGGCTTGTGCCAGTATTTTGTAACCAATCCTGAAAAATGTAATACATCAATGCATACTTGTAGAATTATCAAACTGAATGAGAATAGTAAAAACCAGTATCCTAGATAGAATTTAGCGAAAAGTCAAAGTGACCATAACTTCAAATTTACCATGCTACGCATATGGAAAACAGTATGAAAAGAAAGATCGACTAAAATATTTGAAATGCTAAAAGAACTCCATTCCAGCCAAACCACCAGATCAACAATCAGTTAGATCTACTGAACTAAACATCCAAAAATCGAGAAATTGTCAATAAAGAAATTTTAGAATTACTGATTACAACACTGGGTAATAGTTGTCTAGTCAACTAATGATGCACCCAAAATTAGGCATCCTTAAAATGCTTTTAGGGTAAGACATGTTCTATTTATCTAGATTTGAAATATTTCAGCAATTTCCATATTAAATCACAAATTTAAAAATGAGTAAATTCCAACCATGATATTGTATAAGGTGATCTAGGCATATAAAATCCAAACTAGTAACATTCATAACAAATTCAATGCATATAAAAAAAATTTTTAAAAAATAATAATTATCAAACCAAAAGCTCAAAACCATGCTGAAAAGGAAAAAAAGTAAACTACCAGGCTCCAGGAACTTAAGAAAAGGCTATCTAATAGAAAATTAACAGAACAAATACATTAATAAAAATACAAAAATAGATTTTTTACTTACTCAGCATTGCCAATTTTGGCAAATCCCCCCACAATTATGCTGTAAGTAACCAAACTCATTTCAACACCCTCGTCTTTCATTTTCCTAACGCAAGACAATGCTTCTTCCATGTCTCTACCAACTGCATAAGCGTGAATAAGGCTGCATGAAATGAATTATTTTAATGCTGAGAAAGAAGATTGAGGGCAACAACTATCCTACTAATTAAATCCAACTTTTACTTGGAAAGGGGTCTCAATTCAAATACATTGCCATGAGAATAACAAGAAAAGAAATATACACATTGATTAAGTACAAATTTATAATTCAAAACATTTTGCAATCTTATTTGTGTAAAAGAAGTGTTTGGCTTTATAGAGTAAAATAATTTTGAATGATCACTCTCAAAACAAAATCTACAAGTTGACGTATTGACCCAATTAAAAGCCTTCACCCAAGTTTGGCAGTAGGTGGTAGCTCAGTAGCTGAAGAAATTAGAATGGGTAATTGATGCTTAAATCAGACAGAAGGAAGACTGTAAAATATTTTATCATACCTTGTGTAAACATGCGATGTTGGCTCTATTCCCCTCGCTCTCATGCTCTCAAAAGTTTGACGTGCCCTATGCATATCCCCTCGCCTTGCATAATAGCTCAACATCAATCCATATTCCCTTCTGGAAGGCTAAACATCACAATTAAAACATAAAAACAACAGTAGAATAACTAATATACTCAAATAAAATTGATTAAAAAAAAAAAAGTTATATAACTTTCATAAAGCTAAAGGGCAGCAAATGATCAAGTAATTTTTCACAGACCTTTTTTGCAGATTTGATATATGTTATGGTGTAAAAATGCATGTCATTCCACATGACTCATTTATTTAAGCATTGGTTATAAATATTATTTCTCTCTAGAGCAATCAACAGAAATACCGGCTTAAATAGTATGTAAGAGAACTGGATTTAATCCATAATAACAAATAAAAGGGGTCTTAACACTTCATTCTGCACAGCTAAGCTAACTAAAGGTCCACCTTTATTGCAGATAGACTTCAATCCAGAATACCAAATAATAATCATTGTGGTATAACCTTTAATTCTAAATCTTTCGTCCAATTGATGGTCTCTATACAACCTAACTTTTTTAATCCAACTACTGTAATCTATCATTTCCACTATGTAATTACGAGCAGAACTTTTAAAGAATAGCCGGAAGAAGGGGAAAACTATAAAATAAGAATGTCACATTCACCTTCTTAATCCTCTCGAAAGCACTAACAACAGCCTGCCATTTCTCCGGCTGTGTCTCCAGAACCTGCCGAAAGGCCTTTCTGGTCCCTTCTCTTTCTTCATGCCATTTCGATTTAAAACCTTGCCCATCCTCCCCTTCCACCCACCGCTCCCTTTCCTCTGCTTTAGTTTTTAATCTTCTCCCGTCGTCCAATTTGACAGTCAAAGTTCTTCCATGGAACTCCACTCCATCAAACTCCACGGCCTTCATAGCAGACTTTTCTGCTGTTGAACCATCATAGATAATAAATCCAAACCCAGCATTCCTTTGACATTCATTGTGTCCTTTGATCAAAATTACATTTTTTATGGGGCCAAACTGGCGAAAGAATTCTGATATTTCATGCTTCTTTATCCAATTGGGTAGATTCCCAAGAAAAATCTTTCCTTGTTGGCGAAATTCAGTTTTTTCGGATTCTTTATCCAATTTGGTCGTTTCATTCTCTTGAGTTTTGGGTCGTATTGTGGGGGGAGGGAGTGTAGGCAGAGGTAGAGGTGGAGGTGGCGGTGGGGAAAGCTTGCTGGATAAACGGAGTTTGGCCGAGAGAGAGTGATGGTTGGGGTTGTCAGGTGGAGGAGGAGTAGAGGGGACATGAGAAGGGTTTAGAAGAGTTTTGAAAGGGTTTTGAGGGGTTTTATTAAGAGTGGAGGCAGGAGGAGTGGTAGCGTTAGAGTTGAGGGATTTGGGACGGCGGACAAAGGGAGACTCGGTGGGCTGTGGTTCTGGTGGAGGCGGTGAAGGAGGTGGTGGTGGTGGTTTAAGGGAGAAAGAAACGGAGGTGGAGGTGGAGGTGGAGGTGGAGGTGGCAGCGGAGTGGTGTTTTCTTGCTGTGGAGGAGAAACAAGGGATGTGTGGAGTTGCGGATAGCGATAAAATATCCATTTATCCGTTTAGAGAGTGATAAGAAGCGCCATCATCAACTTAAAACAAGAGCAGGAAATGGAAAATCCTTTCCATACATAGACAACAGAAAGGAAAAATTACTATTAGCATTATATTTATTGAAGGCTTAACTGTAAAATTACCATCAACTTCAAAATCACTCTAAAATAATCTTATCTTTTGTACTTTAGGCACCCTTATTACAAAAATGATTTTATGTTTAGATTACAATAAAAAAATATTTTAATGGAACTCATATATTAACCTTGGTCAACTTAACCAATTATTCTCAAAACTCTCCGTTTAGATCACTACCTTGCCTCTTCCTTTTTCCCATTTTAACCACTACCCAGTAAGGGTGGCCATATTACGGTTTTAGGAATCGAAACCGTCGGTTTGAACCGGTTCTAAACCGTAACAGGAACCGGTGGGAACCGGAACCTGTCCGAACCGGAACTGGAACCGGAGATTTTCGGTTTCAGATTTCTGGAATCGAAACCGGCAATTCTAGAAAATCGGTCGGAACCGGATTCGAACCGCCGGTTCTCCGGCCGGTTAGAACTGCCGGTTCGAACCGGCGGTTCTAGCAGTTAGAAACTGTCAGTTTTTGTGTTTTTTTTTAATTTTGTTGTGAAGGTTTTTTTTTAATTTTTTTTTTCTGTGTGAAATCTCTTTAATTTTGTTTGAAGAATTTTTTTTTTAAAAAAATAATTATGTTCAAGTCACTTAAAAAAATAATTTAATTGAAGTCATTTTTAATTTTTAGTGCTATTTTTTTTACAAATAACTTTCACAAATTAGTTAAATCTTTGAAAACCGGGTCCTTCAAAATTGTAAAGAAAATTTATAAATTTATGCGTGTGGCGGAATTACTAACGCAATTCTCGGAACGCAAATTTATTAAATTTTGAAAACCGGTCTTCAAAATTTAAAATTTAAAATTATGCAATTCGCCGGAAAACCAATCGGAACCGTCGGTTTTGTCACCGTAGCGGAACCGGAACCGTTCCTTCCAAACCGGAACTTTTCGGTTCGGTTCCGGTTCTAATTTTTTTCGAACCGAAACCGCCAGTTCCGGAACCGTGGCCACCCTTACTACCCAGTCTCTACCTTTTTCTCTTTCTTCCCTTCTTCTTTCTCCATTTTTTCAATTGATCAATTATCTTTCTAAACAATTAATTACCATTTTCAAAACCAAAAACTTTCCTTATTTCTCCCTTGTTCTTCCATGTAACTCGTAACCATGGTATTTCAAGCTTCTCTTTATAACATATTGGCAGCCACTGCAAAATCGACGGTAGAAGGTTTTATGGTCTGATCTCATCGAGTCATCTTCATAGCGAAACCCTAAAGTATTTTATCCAAATCTATGAGTTAAAAAGGAATGTAGATCAGGTTTGTTTATAGTGGGTAATATAATTGGAAATTTTAGATTTAGATATGTAAAAGGAATATGGGTTTTGGGTAAATCATAATTGCAACTTTCTTAATAAGCTTTCTTCATCTGTTTTCTGCATTACCTTGCTTTTGAGTTATGTTTGAATGTATGAAATATTTGATTATTTTGCAATCTATATATCTTTCCAAGTTTATGTGATGATTTTATATGAGAGTTGAGGTGAGGGAGTTAGAAAAAGGGGTTGATGTTGATGATGTGAGGGAGACAAGAATAGGGTTAGAGGAAAATAGCGTTCTAGCTTGGGTTAAGATGACCCAAGGGTTACCATATGGGACCTACTTTATTGTTTTTTTATTTATAACCTTAACCTTATTTTTGTTTTAATTTTCAAAATGAGGGTATTAATATATCTAAGTTTGAAAATGAGGGTGTCCATGATACAAAAGTCATTTTAGAGTGATTTTGCAATATGTCATAAAGTTGAGAGTAAATTTTATAATTTAAGCCATTTATTAAAATACAACTTAGTCAGTGTCTACTAAAATATATCCAATTACTCCAAAGCTGTCACTTGTAACAATTGCATCCTAACTTAACACCCCACATATGTCAATTTCAAACCTTTGTAAAAATTACACACTAATTATAAGCCCAGTCAAAATTGATATTAAAATATAATATACATGGGTTGTGGTTCTAGTGGAGGCGGTGAAAGAGGTAGACATGGCCACGGTTCCGGTTCCAGAAAAGCTGGAACCGGAACCGAACCGAAATGGTCCGGTTCCGGTTCCGGTTCCAACCGAAATGGTCCGGCTTCCCGGGTTCGGGTTCGCGAACCGTTCCGGTTCCTGGTTCTTGGTTCCGGTTCCGGTTCCGGTTCCGATCCGATTTACAAAAAACGACGGATTCCGAATTGGCGTCTTTACGCCTGTTCAGATTCTGTCCAAATTTTTTAATTTTTTTAAATTTTTAAATTTTGGCATACCGGTTTAAAAAAAAATTTTATGTGACATAAAAAATTGAAAAATACAGTTAAAAATTTTTAAAATATGAAGACCCGTTTAAAAAAAAAAATTATTTGAACATAAAAAATTTAAAAATAACCTAAAAAATTTATAATTTTGAAGATACGGTTTAAAAAAAATTATTTGAACTAAAAATTAAAAAATACACCTAAAAAATTAAAAAATACTTCAATTAAATTTATTTTTTTAAAGACTTGAATTGTTGAAGCTGTTGAACACTAATGATTTTTTTAAAAAAAAAATTTGAACTGAATTTTTTTTTTTTTTTAAGTTTGAACAAAATAATAAAAAAAAAAAAAGGGCTGAACTTATTTTTTTTTTTTTGTTAAAAAAAAAATTCACGTTGCCTACGTATCCTCTTGGGGTTTATTAGGAATCAAAGCCCACGTAGTTCTTACTTACCTTATATCAATTTCACCCCTATGATATATCCTTTAATCGCTATTTCGCCACCCCCCCGGTTTTGATGTTCCCGTTGCGAACACATGCGCTATAAATCAAATAATCTGATTTTTTCTCTCTGGATTTTTTCTTTGGGCTCTTTAGTTCGGCTTTTGGTCCAATCATCACACAGCCACCGCTTTGTGCTCATGCTAACTCTCCGCAACTGCGCGCTCGTCATTATCGAGATCCGTCTCTCTTATCAATTATAGTTTATCCTCCGCTCGTCACATAAGTAGCTTGTCTTCAACCGCAACAGTGGAGACCGGAGCTGCTAAAATTGTGCAAGTAATAATGATAAGAATGGAAACGCTTCTCTCTCGCGTGACGACTCCACCAATCTAAAATTGAATCAGTCTGCTCATTCTGGCATGCAATTACACCCAAACTCAAAAGAAGTTGTTAGATAATTGGTCAAATTCCAGAATAGAACTGGATTCCCTTGTTCTTTTTTTTGCTTTGCAATAGAACTTGTTGAGCAAACATCAATGACCACTTACCCGTTGTGGTGTATAGGAAGAAAAAAAAATTGTTGGAATAAGTTTAGGGTTGAAGGAAAAGGAAGTAGAAAAATTTGAACGTTAGGGGATTTGAAAAAAAAACTTAGAAAACTTGAAGCAGATTCATTGTATTTGGCATAATATTTTTGTTTAACTTCATGCCGACTAGTACCATTATATTATTAAAGCATTATCTTCTACATCAAGATTTTAATACGTCATAATAAATATTCAAAAGTTAATCACATAAATCATCCATCTATATCTAGGATCAAAATAGACAATAGCAACAAGATAAAGCGACGGTGGGTATATTTTTTAATAAGCTATAACCATTTTTTTCATTGAAAAAAATACAATCTGTTTAATTAAATTCATTCATTTTGAAGATTCTTGTTGTGCGAGTGAACAATATTAATAGCAACATAGGTAAAGAATAAATTAGCAGTGTGGTTATGATATAAACCCCCACTAAATTTATAGTAGCATCCATTTAAAATTTTTAAATGATCTAATTTTTGCAACAAAATCTTCCCAATTCTTTGTGGACTATAAATTAAGTCGAGTCCTCAATATTGTGTTAGTAACAAAAAACAAACATAATAATTTCTGGTGATAGCAAAAATGACTCGTTTAGTAATTCGATATGTTGAATGCGTCCAACGGAGTATGGGACATCCCTCTGGAAAACGTTTTAGTCTTTTATTATTTTTCTTTACAAAATTTGTAGCCCAAAGCTTTTTCGATCACTTGGATGTGGTCCAGTAAATATGAAAGTAGCTTTTTTATTGCGAGAAATAAATAGAAGTTCAAGAATTCTTGTGCAGCAAAACCATCTTGTACACATTAAATTTAAAACATGGCATGTTACATTCTTATTATGAAAAATTTACCACAATGTATTTTGGTTCACGAAATTTTTTAAGTCAATAGATCTGATCTAGTATTGGAGAAGCATTTATCAAATGAAATTAGAAAAATCTTTTTTTGTCAAGCCGGTATATTCATCTAAAATTGAAAACAATTACTCTATAATATTATTTGCAGTATGTTTATCAGTCGAAAAACACGAAAACCAATAAGTTCTTTTTTGAAATTTTTCAAGTTCATTCAGTCCAATCGCGACATGGACTGTAATACCCATATGAAGAATGCATTTCGCAATGATCAGCTCCAAACATTCACAAGCAAATTGAAACAACGAATTTTCAATTTAGAAAATAAGAAGCTTCTAATCTTTTTTCCTTTGTTATATAAAGAATAGATAATAGTTGCGTGTTTACGAGTAGTTTCTTGGTACTCTATTTAGCACAAGGATTTAAAGCTTTTTGACAATAATTATTAGAAACCTAATTTGTTCACCAAAACTTAAAAAGATAAATGTTCATAGAAATCATTTTTGGGCTAATTCTTCTTTGTTTGTATTTTTTCAGAATATTTAAATAAGAAGAAAGGTAGAAGCGTGACCCGGAAGATTTGTTGTTGAGACGGCCGATTAAAACTCCTATTTATTTGTTGGATGTTTGCCTTCCAAATGCCTTCCCGAAAATGATCCATAGCCGCCCGCTTGTTTAAAATTTATAAGATTTCAGACGAATAATTGCAAATCAGCATCTGTACGTGTTTCTCACCGTTTGAAGTGTTTTTGTGTGAAATGAATGGAGAATATGTTCGGAACGTATTGTCTTGCTCTTGTAAACAATTTTGTCGTGTGAG